TTCAACGTCGTTTTTGATAGGGTCCCTCCTAGAAGTGGATCTCTCACTGAATCTGGAGGTGATCAGTTTGACTAGACTAGCTGGCCAGTGAGCCTCGGGGACACTCCTGTTTCTACCTCCCAAGAGTAGCCTCACTGGGCTTTATACATGGGTGTCGAGGGAGGATCAAACTTAAAGTTCAAACTCTGGAACAAAGCTGTCCTCTGAGTTCCACATGTGTGCCTTCGCAAGCCCCCCCCCCTGCCACTAATGGCAAAAAGTTAAAACGTTTTAAAAGAAAGCAAGCATTAATTAGGAAGTCTCTCACTTTCCTTTTTCCCTCTGAAGGGTGGGACTTCTCTATTGATGTAAGGACTCACATTTGCTACTGCACTCTGTCTTCAGAGGATAAGTGGACTTAAAGGGGAGAGAGCAAATGATTTTCAATGCTTCTATGTAGCTGTTTTTAAAAATTAGAAACAATGTTTTAAATTGAAATAGAATTACATTACTTTCATCCCTTCAGTCCCTCCAATGTCCTCCTCCCATTCTCAAGATGATAGCTTCTTTTCGCTACACACACACACACACACACACACACACACACACACACACACACACTTTTTGGGGATGTTGTTTGTGTGCATATTTGGGGACAGCCACTCTGCAGTGGACAACCACTCTAGGGGCTTGTCCCTGGAAGAGGCTTATTCTCCCCCAGCAGTCATTAGTTCCCTGTAGTTCTCTACCTAGGGGGCTGGGACCCCACAAAAATGTCTCCTTCCATGTTAACATGTCCACTGATATTACCAGTCTTGTTTATACAGCCATTTCTAGGGGAGATATGTTTCATAGCAGACTTACTGGTATCTTGGCTCTTACAATCTTTCTGTCCCCCTTCCTAGGTGTTCCCTGAGCCATAGATGCAGGAGCTATGATGCATCTGTATCTGTTGGTCCTGGTATCTCCATAATCCATTGATCTCTACATCGTGTCCAGTTGTGGTTTTCTGAGATAGTCTCCATTCACTGTAAAGAGTTTTTTTTTTTGTTTTGTTTTGTTTTGTTTTGGTTTTTTTTTTTTTTGAGGGAGGAGTGCTGGCCACACTTATCCAGGAAAGGCAGCTAATGCACAAAGAGGTTTCAAGGGTTTGGTTCTACAACTAGGCTTGGGGGTTTGTAGATGGCAGAGGGTTGGGGGACTATAGTTACTTCCTGGTAATTGCTGGAGATTGGTTCTAGGACCTCTTCTCACTCCACCCCCACCTCAGTATAATGCAAGATTGCTCAGGTTCCTTATATAGTCTTTGTATATAACTTACACATGTCCTCCTATATGCTTTCCAACACCCCTAGATTATTTTAAATACCTAATATAAATGCTGTGCAATTAGTTATTATACTGAGTTACTTATGGAATGCTGACAAACATAAAAGTGCATATGTTGTTAGTATATTTTCTATCTGTGGTTGGCTGACACTGCAGACATAAAGCCATCAAATATGGAGGTTTGACTTTACATTAAGTCCTACTATGCATGAACTCTACTATTATAAATTAATGTATGTGTTCCATGTGTGCAGGTGTACTTTTGTGTGAGATTGTAAAGGAAAACTGGCATGGCATTTGCCAAGTAGGCTAGTCTGGCAAATCAGGGAGCTGTCTGACTTTGCCTCCCTTGTTCGGAGTTCCAAGTGCCTGTAGTTGTGCTTAACTTTTTATGTGGGTTCTGGGGAATCAAACACAAGTCCTCATGCTTGCTTGGAAAGTACTTTGTCTACAGAGCTATCTCCCCAGGTCTTGCTCTCCATTATTGAAACTATGTCTATTCTTGAGTAAGATGTACCAGTTAAGCATAGGGCTGGTTGTTATAAATATTAATTGGTACATGACTTTTTATTTTTTACTCTTAGCCCTGAATTGGAGAATTAATTGGAAAGCTTACATTGGGGGCTGTTTAATCACGTCTTTCCTTTCTTAACCTCCCATTCTGTAGTCCCGTCCTCTGTCTTTTCTTTTCTGAATGGTAGGGTTAGTTCTCCACATCTCCATAAAAGTCTGGTTATTTCAACAGCACTGGGTGTGTGCTGTGGTATACATTTAACCTCTGATTCTTAGGCTGAATTTCACAAAGACCTTCCCCCAGGCTCTTTTCCCAAAGAGCACCCTGCCAGACAGCCCATGGTTTGCTGTAGCTCTTCAAGCGCTGTACCACCACCAACACCACGGGGGCTGCCCCTTTCTTTGGCTTGAGCTCAGTTTCATTAACAAGCACATTCACACTTCAAGTGGAACATTTAAAATAACACCCGTACAATGTGTTTAGTGTTTAGTTAATTATTAAGTCTCTAAGCTTGAATTATTCAAGTGAAATTGATTGGGTTCAACCTTCTTCCTTCTCTTTGTGCTTTTTTTTTTAAATAAATTCTCTCCTCTCCTCTCTAAATAATTTGGGAAGTTTTTTTTTTTTAATAAAATTTCAATACCCTGGTCTGTGGGTGGTACCCATGTGCTAAAAGAATAGGTATAGAGGACAGGCAGCTTGAAACTTTTGTTAACAATTGTGTTTAAGGCTGGGGGGTGGGTGGTCCAGTGGGCAGCATCTTTGCCACCCTGTATTCCTTTCCAAGCCCTATAAAAAAAGTAGGATCTGCAATTCATACATCCCCGTGACCAGTTAGACATTTAAAGAGAACCGACAAGTTTTACCTTCCTCCTATTTTTAGACTTAAAAATTAGTTTATTTATTTTGTATGTGTATGTGCACTGCATGCCCCGGTAGGAGTGTGGAGCTCAGGGTCAATGAGTGGGGATTTGAGTGGGGATTGGAGTCTCTATTTCTATCACATTGGTCCTGGGGCTAGAACCCAGGCAGTCAGGGTTGTCAGGGTCTGGTCTGAGTGTGCTCCTCTTTATTACTTACTCTCACGGGCAAATGAAATTGTTAAAAATGTGTCGACTTCATCTTAAAAACTTGGTGGCTGAAGAACATGTCTTGACCTACATAGATAATTACAGAGGGTATAAAATTGTCCTTTACTATGTAACACTTTTCTTAAAATGTGTAAACACCAATGATAATGAAATAACAACAGTAACTAATAGTATCAAATAACATTATCTAGTTTAGTATGACATTTCATGTTTACAATTTCATTACTTGTGCAATTACAGAACAGACACATATAAAGATGTCATGGCTGGAAATGATTAATTCTTTGTCCGAACCTATTTAAATATCACTCATATGTCAAGAACACATTGAAAATAATGCTGTCCTTATTTATGCAGGCAAGAGTAGATTTGGAAAGCATAAATTTCAGAAAAGATTCACAATGTCCCGTGAATCACGACATCTTTAACCTCAGCCTCATGTTTAGGCCTTCACTCCTGGTTCTTTCTCTGTTTTTGTATTACTGAGACGTAAAAATGATTCATTACATGCATTGCCATGGGAAACGGGTGTGGGGAAGGAATATAAAAAAAAATTACGTTTTGGGGGACGATCACAGATGGCAGTTCTGGGGGTTGGGGCGTAACAGAAATGCTATGACCCAGTTTAGCTGTAGCAAAAGTAGGATCTTCCATGAGCATTTTGGAGGGAACTCTGAAAAATCAAGATTACAAACCCAGAAAGGGCCCCACCGGCAGCAGGTGCCTTGACTCCTGAGTGATTGGCATTTAAATGCATTAGGTTGCTATTGGGTTGCAGAGTGGCTGTGTGTACCTGCGAGTGTGCTGACAGAGGGGGCTGCAGGTTTGCTGACAGTGGTGAACTGTCCCTGGTCGGCTGTAACCTTGGCTGGAGAATAACAGGCATGATCTAGCATATTTCCGGAGGAGAAAAAGCCAGGCTTCACATCGGGAAACTTTGGGGGAAACAGAAATGGGAATCTCTCTCCTTTGAGAACATGAATGCACGACATGGATGGTGGAGCAGACCAGTCTCTCATTATTTTTTAATCCTGGGAAATGACACAAGTGCTGCAAATTAGGAACACAAGAAATTAGGACTCTGGGGCGTGGGAAAGACGAATGGGGGGGCAGGTAGACAGCGGGGGGGGCTACAAGCCGACGGTACCGGCGCAGGACGTGGAAGGAGCCGGGCTCGGGGTTGGTCAGTAGACACCTCGACGACCCCGGACGGCGAGGAGGCCGCGTGGCGCAGTTCCCAGCCCGTGCCTGGCCGGGAGGG